ATGGTACGTAAGCATTATTAAATATTTCAGCATATTATATATTAATTGCAATTTGAAGTGTCGATTTACCACGTTCTCGGCGGTTAAGGAAAACCTGCATATCTGAAAAGTTTCCCAGTTGAGGTCATCCTGCACTGGAATCAGCGCAGCGAACACTTTTTTTGGCCAATAACTTTATGCGGCCATTGCCCAGTAGTAACGTGTATTTGAGCTGCAACTTTTTACTTTTCATGGGGCAATATATGCATTTTTTATTGTATTCATATTTTCGGGTATGTTACTTTTGTTTTTACTCTAAAAAAAGTCCACTGAAATAAACATAGGCCTCCCGCATAAATTGTCAAGTAGCTGGATATTTGCAATAGTTGCCACGCTTGGTAGGCGTGTTGGCAACCGCAGCTATTATTATTTTGATCTTTTGTCAGGAAGATGATGCTGCCCTATGTCATGTCATGCCCTAGGTCATATGTCACTGCTTACGACGGTACGATATGAGGTGGCGGATTCTCTTTCACCGCCACAAAAAAACGAACATTTTTCTACTCCCGTTCATAAGAGTAGTGCTTCCCAGGTTCACTGTGAATAAAATTTATAAGGAATAAAACTAATTTTAAGGATCTTATCGCGTTTAGTTTTAACTTTTTTAATTCCCGATGTTTTGGGCACTTTACAGCACCCATGGTCACAGTAGGACTGAGGTTTTTGATGACCTGATGTCATAGTTAGAATGGAATAGAATAAGAATAGAATAGAATATAATAGTAATAGAATAAATGCAGGAGTATGCTTGGGTTTGAATTTTATTTTATTAACTATGGTGCCCTTTGCAAATCTTACCACTCAGCCCTCTTCCCTATTAAAATTAGCATGTGTTTTTTTTTTAATTTCAGTAGCCCCGCGAATCATCATTGGTAGGAATCGGTGTTCTATTACAAGGATTTGTATATCAGATCCGATATAATGGTTGGGACGATACTAAACATGTTGACATACTTTAGACATCCCGGAGCGACCTGTATGTTCTTTTACGCGGGTTTTTATGGAACTTTCATCCAAAGATGCGTAAAAAAACCTAACGTAAAAAAGTTAAAATTAGACGTGATAAAATCCGTAACATTAGTTTTATTCCATGTGTAGTATACTGTATACTAAATTTTGAAGTCAACTCGAACGTAAAAAAAATATTTACATCTATTTTATGGTGCCAATCAAAATATTAAATAGGACCAATGATAGATATGAATAAAATATCTCAAATAAACATTATGCCGTAAATTGATAGAAGACCGTGAAACTCATCATTATTTTGTTAAAACTAAATTAATTTTAATTATGAATGAATGTAAAGAGTAAAATATAAATAATATCATCATCATCATCATTACAGCCCTTCACAAGTCCACTGCTGAACATAGGCCTCCCCCAAAGAATGCCACAAAGCACGGTCCTGAGCCACCTGCATCCATCGACTTCCTGCATATCTTACCAGGTCGTCACTCCATCTAGTGGGGGGACGCCCTACACTTCGCCTGCCGGTACGAGGCTGCCACTCGAGAACCTTTCTTCCCCATCGGTTGTCGGTTCTTCGAGCTATATGGCCGGCCCATTGCCACTTCAGCTTACTAATCCGTTGGGCTATGTCGGTCACTCTAGTTCTACTGCGGATATCCTCATTTCTGAGTTTATCACGCAGAGAAACTCCGAGCATAGCCCTCTCCATAGCTCGCTGAGCGACCTTGAGCTTCCTCATCCGGCCAGCAGTGAAGGACCACGTCTCAGTTCCGTATGTCATCACTGGCAACACGCACTGGGTGTACAGTCTCGTTTTCAAGTTTTGAGGTATACCTGACGAGAAGATGTGCCGTAATTTCCCGAACGCTGCCCAACCGAGTTGAATCCGTCGATTGACCTCTCGGTCGAAGTTGGACTTACCTAGTCGGACTATTTGTCCCAGGTAAACATACTCGTCAACAACTTCGAGCTTAGTGTTCCCAAAAACTACCGGCATAGGTGTGACATGGACATTAAACATGATCTTTGTTTTGTCCATGTTCATCTTAAGACCTATCCGTTGGGAAACACTATTGAGGTCATTGAGCATAGTGCTTAGGTCCTCCAGCGATTCTGCCATAAGGACTATATCGTCGGCAAATCGAAGGTGAGTGATGTACTCGCCATTGATGTTGATACCGTATCCTTTCCAGTCCAGAAGCTTGAAAACATCTTCCAATGCAGCGGTAAAGAGTTTCGGGGATATGACGTCACCCTGTCTTACACCTCTCTGCAATTGGATAGGTTTCGTACTCTGGTTCTGTACTCGGATAGCCATCGTAGCCCTACTGTACAAGCACTTCAACACTTCGATATACCGACAGTCAACTTGGCATCGCTGAAGGGACTGCAGCACCGCCCAAATTTCGACGGAATCAAAGGCTTTCTCATAGTCCACATACGCCAGACATAGTGGCAAATTGTACTCCTCGGACTTCAGCACAATTTGCCGAAGGGTATGTATGTGGTCTATGGTGCTAAAGCCTTTTCGGAAACCGGCTTGTTCGGGAGGCTGGAAGTCGTCAAGTCTGCGCGCGAGACGATTCGTAATGACTCTCGAAAACAGCACGTAGACGCGGCTCAGAAGGGAAATCGGTCTGTAGTTCTTCAAGAGAGCGTTGTCGCCTTTCTTGAAGAACAAGACCACCGCACTTCTGCTCCACGCCTCCGGTGTAATGCCACCATGGAGGACGGAATTAAAGAGCTTCTGAAGGACTTCAAGTACCGATCTTCCACCCGCTTTCAGAAGCTCCGCTGTAATTCCATCCTCGCCTGGGGCCTTGCCGTTTTTAAGGTGCTGGAGAGCCATTCTAATCTCGCTCAGACTGACGTCCGGGATATCATCGGAATAATGTCGGATAAGACTCGCTCTTGGATCGTTACTCACACTTGCGTGCGGCTCCAACGATGACGTGTACAGCTGCCCATAGAACCTCTCAATCTCACTCAAAATCTCAGGTGCCCCGGAAACGATGCTGCCACACTCTGTCTTCAGCTTTGACAGTTGGCGCTTTCTGGCAGACAGATCTCTGGCAAAGACTGGAGCCTCGGTTCCGCTCGATCGCTTCTTCAATACGAGCTGTATTGAATTTGCGTAAGTCCCGCCGCATGCATTTGGAGATCTGTCTGTTCAGTTGCCTGTATGCTGTCAAATCTGTTGAAGAATGTAGCTTCATCTCCCGTCTAACAGCCATGAGATTAAGAGTGTGATCGGAGAGTTTTTGTGTTCTTCTGCGGCGGGTCTTGCAGAACTTAGCTCCGACCGCATGGACAGTTTCCACGAGCTTGTCATTCAAATCGTCCACTTCATTGCAGTTTTCTAGGCACTGAAAACGGTTTTGTAACTCGAGCTGAAAGGTTTCGGGACTTTGGAAAAGAGCACGAGGGGGACGGAGCGTTGACTTCATTAGACGAGACCTCTCCAACTTAACGTTTAGGTTCAGTGTGCCTCTAACCATTCGGTGATCGCTGCCGGTTTTCACCCTCGCGATCACTGAGACATCACTGAACAGTTGTCGTCTGGTCGTCATAATGAAGTCAATCTCATTTTTTGTCGAACCGTCGGGGCTCGACCAGGTCCACTTCCTGTGGGGCCGCTTCTGGAAGAAAGAGTTCATCATAAAGAGTCCCTCTTTCTCCATGAAGTCGGCCAGCTGCTGGCCCCTTGGGTTCCGTTGCCCTATTCCAAATTTCCCTACTTTCAGCTCACCGTTCTCTCTTGTGCCTAGTTTTGCATTGAAGTCTCCCATTAACACCGTATATTGGGTTTTGGAGGAATGCATGACTCTAGAGATATCCTCATACATTTCCTCCACCTCCTGAACGGGGTGTGCCGAGGTTGGTGCGTAAACCTGTATGACCTTCAGCGAATACCGTTTGGTGATTCTGAGTATAAGGTACGCAACCCTCGTCGACACACTCTCAATCTTTACAACGTTGTTAACGAGAGACTTGTGGACGATAAATCCGACACCTCCTTGGGACAGATGGTCGCCCTCCCGGTAATAGAGCAAGTTGCCGGATTCGAGGATTACCGTGTCCTCCCCCTCTCTTCGGACTTCGGATAATCCTATAATATGCCAGCGTAACTTGTCTATCTCTTCTTCCAGCTCCACAATCTTCTCGTCAGTCCTCAGGGTGCGTGCGTTGTATGTTGCCAGGTCGAGTCGTCGTAAGTGGCAACCGAACCTCCACCGGAGATTCTTAGCACCCCCTGCCCCGCCGTTACCATGGTCGCCACCGTAGCCAGGAATAGCGGGGCCGCCGGGGACTGGGGGCCGTTTATTATTGTCATTGCTCATGGGGGGTATATTGCCATAGTTGCCACGCTTGGCGAGCGGGTTGGCAACCGCAGTTTTTTTATTGTTATTTTGGCTATTATCAGGAAGATGCTGCTGCCCATCTCCTGCCTGTTTCCCTTTGTCGCCTTTTACGACACCCACGGGAAGATATGGGGTAGTGGATATTCTTAACCGCCACTACACGGCATAAATAATAGATAATAATAAATTTTGATTACGACACAATTTACCTTTCTTATGGATACATCGGAAGACACGCCCGATATAAAAAATAGTATGTGTTTCTAGACATATAAATTCACGTGTTACTGTGGCATATTATACGTATCTATGCCAAATACCTAATCTACGTCTAATAGTCCTTTAGAATTTAAAAAAATCTTTGACAGACATAGAGACACAGACACCGAGGTGACTCTAAATGTGATCGAATTTCGCTAAATTTGCCACGCGAGCGAAGCCGCGGGAAAAACCTAGTATAATATAAGACTAATAGAAACCTTAATCATACAATTCTATATATGGAAAGCTTTCTACTGACACGAAAGGACTTACGAAGGTAATGAATGTAATATGTTTAAAAAAAAAACTTTTTGCTATTAAAATTACTGAACTTTTGTTCAAAATATTTCAAGACATGTATTTTACCCAAGCTTTGGACAGTTTTTATGCTGACGACTGCTTCGGTAGCTACAGCAGTGGCCGACTCCATAGCGTCACGCTCGTCCGCCTGTGACTTTTGTGACATAATTCCTTCTAGCCACATACTTCCAACCATCTGTGAAAGAACGGAAGGTTAATAATAATTTAAAGAATTAGTAAAGAAATATACAGTCTTTTGAATACGTAGGTATTCGTTTGTTATTTTTTTTTTGCAAATTATTCAACAGACTGAATGAACTGTCAAATCAGGCAATACCATAGAAATATAATTCGCAGTGCCCGCGACTTCGTTCACAAGTGCATGGATGATTCCAACACCGAGGCTTACGTACATCTTGAAATTATTATGTAATAGGACAAAAATATAGAAGAGACATATTTTTGAATATCTAAAGATAGCCATTTTAAATGGTGACCATATTTAATTATATTAAAAAATACAAAAATCTTTCACCAAACAATACCAGAAAATAAACTGTACCATTATACGAAATTTGATACCAAAAACTAGTTACTAATCACTGTGAGAAATGGCCATGACGCATCTTATTTGTGTAGATTAACCAAGAGACCAACGGACTAAACTCGTCAGAAAAGCTTCGTTTGGACCTCATAAGCAGCCTAAAATACATAATATGTGGTATCATAATATTATGCAACATGTGCTGTAGCAAAAGGCCTTTTTATGAATAATGTCGGACATTTTGTCATGTGGTTCTAAAACAGGTCCATACCCTGCCCTGAGAGTTGTTTAGTAAATTTGCAAAGCAAATACTCATCAGCATTTGGATTCGTTGAAAATGAAACGGTAAGCCCGTTAGGACTTATTGATATTTGTGGAATAAAAACTCCTTTCATCTGCATAAACGATGGCAAGCAATTAATTTTAGCCGTAAAATATACTAAAGATTTACAGGATTTTTATTAAAAGTTAGTGGTAAATGTTCAAACTAAATATATATATCATAATATATTATTAAACTAAAATACAAACAGCGTCGGTAAATCGCTTATTACACAGTAAACTTTACTTTTTGCTTTTACAGCTTTAAGAAAAGTGATATTTGCCTACTTTTAATTTTATTTGGCAAATAAATATAAGTTTGAGTTAAATGGCGCTATTTTCACCAGTTTTAAAATAAAAATAAAATCAAAATTTTCTTTGGAATAGATATAAAAACATTTTTTAAATTATGAGGATAATAACATATTCTTAATAACCTTAAGGATTAAATATTGATAACGAAAGGAGAGCCATGGTAGCTCAGGGTATAAGTGACCGCACAATACTCGAGTGACCCTCGTTTGAACCAACTAAATTGTTAACAACACCCTCTTGCACTGATATACTGCGTGCTTGATGGTGAAGAAAAATATCGTGAGGAAACCTTTATTTTTAAATATAAATTCAATCATTAATTACAATAAAATATATTAGTTATATGTGAGGATTGTTACACCACTTTTTAATTGAAGGAGAACATCTTACTTTTGCACCCATCGAACGCGAAGCGGAGATGTGGTGCTCTGTTGTCATTAAATCAACAAATCGCGATCCACTCAACTTAAATCACTTCCACTAGCTTTATATTGAACTTTTACAATAAAATAGTACACCAATGGCAAGAGGAGGTTTCAATTTATACTTTTGATGTAGTTATGAGATTATTTATTTCGATTATTATTAAAAAAAAGTTAGTTGAAAATAATTTCACTTGGACGTCAGTTGATCCATACGGATGTGTACAAGATATCTTTCGAGAAACAGAACTTATCACTTTTTTTGTTAGCTTTAGGTTTTAATCCTTAGGAAGCCTTTTGAATTTCACTATTGTAAACCGGCCCGTTCGAGGTGTGTGTGATGTGTGGATTTTTCACAATTTGTTTGCACTTTTAACAGATCGCCACTACGTGCATCCTAGTATATCGCAATATTTTAATAATTAGTACATTTATTTTAGAAAATACATAGTGTAAATAGTTGATATTGGTATATAATTTATTCCGGCTATAACTAGTAATAAGATCAGCAGCGCTTATGAAAACACAACATCTAAAGAAAAGTAAGCACAACTGTTGTTTTGTATCGTCGTTGTCGTTACACTGCGTTATTGGATATATGTATTTGATACTATTACCTAATTTCGCCCCGCGCATCCACGTTGTAGCGTTTGACAGTCATGACACACACTTATTATGAGATCGCGTAACACATAAAGCTCAAGCTATCGCATGGCAACTTTCTCAATTTTCGGAATGATAATGATCGCAGATTATGAGTTAGACTAAGGCTTGTCAAATAGTAAAAACCACTCTACCAATCTGCTTCTTCATGTTCCCGTATATTCATCCTTCATTTTCAAAGAATGTAAAATAAAAAGTTTCATTCAAATTGTAACACCCTATTTCACCTCCTTAAGGGTTGAATTTTTAAAAATCCTCTCTTAGTAAATGTTTACGTTATAGAAGACAGGTACACGTCTAGAGGTTGGGGCTTTTCTAATTTTATGATTTTATTTTAATGAATTTTGCGTCCACACAGACAGACAGTCGGATAGAAAGTTTTCCATAATTGTTGTTTTGGCATCCACATCGAAAGTATAGTTCCTCCAATTAAAATATAAATAAAATATTATATGTTAGAATTCGTTCTCCAAGTATATAAGTTTGGGAATCCTCCAAGAGGCTACAGAGGGGAGGGAATAAACAGACGATAGGTGGGAGCATCTTTCTGATAAAAACTCAAATAATGAAAAAAAAAAAAACTGTGGTCAATTAGTTAACCTGTCTGCCAGGCGTGGCAACTATGGCTTATGCGATTATACTCCCTAATGATTTGCAGTGGACATATGGTAGACTGTTAAGAATGAATGAAGAAATGAATATAGTATAATATAGTATGTGGATATATTCGTAGTTAAGAGAGTATCTACTTACAATGGGAAAGAATGCGGCACCAACTAGAGTCATTTTCCAATTATAGCTAATTGCTAATATAAATCCAACAACCACAGAGCTGATTCCCTGCAAGATGAGGCCAATGCGTAAACCTGTAGCCCCTTGAACTTCTGCTGCGTCTCCACTGAGTCTTGCACACATTGCTCCCACGGTGTTACTCTCGTTATCAAAGAAACCAATTTCCTGAAACAATTTAGTAACGATATATTTTTCAGAAATTCCATTTTTTTAAATTTATTTTGAATATAAAATAAAAACAAATACATCATTACATTATTATATACGTGTTAGAGTCATCATCATCATCATCATTACAGCCCTTCACAAGTCCACTGCTGAACATAGGCCTCCCCCAAAGAATGCCACAAAGCACGGTCCTGAGCCACCTGCATCCATCGACTTCCTGCATATCTTACCAGGTCGTCACTCCATCTAGTGGGGGGACGCCCTACACTTCGCCTGCCGCTACGAGGCTGCCACTCGAGAACCTTTCTTCCCCATCGGTTGTCGGTTCTTCGAGCTATATGGCCGGCCCATTGCCACTTCAGCTTACTAATCCGTTGGGCTATGTCGGTCACTCTAGTTCTACTGCGGATATCCTCATTTCTGAGTTTATCACGCAGAGAAACTCCGAGCATAGCCCTCTCCATATCTCGCTGAGCGACCTTGAGCTTCCTCATCCGGCCAGCAGTGAAGGACCACGTCTCAGTTCCGTATGTCATCACTGGCAACACGCACTGGGTGTACAGTCTCGTTTTCAAGTTTTGAGGTATACCTGACGAGAAGATGTGCCGTAATTTCCCGAACGCTGCCCAACCGAGTTGAATCCGTCGATTGACCTCTCGGTCGAAGTTGGACTTACCTAGTCGGACTATTTGTCCCAGGTAAACATACTCGTCAACAACTTCGAGCTTAGTGTTCCCAACAACTACCGGCATTGGTGTGACATGGACATTAAACATGATCTTTGTTTTGTCCATGTTCATCTTAAGACCTATCCGTTGGGAAACACTATTGAGGTCATTGATCATAGTGCTTAGGTCCTCCAGCGATTCTGCCATAAGGACTATATCGTCGGCAAATCGAAGGTGAGTGATGTACTCGCCATTGATGTTGATACCGTATCCTTTCCAGTCCAGAAGCTTGAAAACATCTTCCAATGCAGCGGTAAAGAGTTTCGGGGATATGACGTCACCCTGTCTTACACCTCTCTGCAATTGGATAGGTTTCGTACTCTGGTTCTGTACTCGGATAGCCATCGTAGCCCTACTGTACAAGCACTTCAACACTTCGATATACCGACAGTCAACTTGGCATCGCTGAAGGGACTGCAGCACCGCCCAAATTTCGACGGAATCAAAGGCTTTCTCATAGTCCACATACGCCAGACATAGTGGCAAATTGTACTCCTCGGACTTCTGTACAATTTGCCGAAGGGTATGTATGTGGTCTATGGTGCTAAAGCCCTTTCGGAAACCGGCTTGTTCGGGAGGCTGGAAGTCGTCAAGTCTGCGCGCGAGACGATTCGTAATGACTCTCGAAAACAGCACGTAGACGCGGCTCAGAAGGGAAATCGGTCTGTAGTTCTTCAAGAGAGCGTTGTCACCTTTCTTGAAGAACAAGACCACCGCACTTCTGCTCCACGCCTCCGGTGTAATGCCACCATGGAGGACGGAATTAAAGAGCTTCTGAAGGACTTCAAGTACCGGTTTTCCACCCGCTTTCAGAAGCTCCGCTGTAATTCCATCCTCGCCTGGGGCCTTGCCGTTTTTAAGGTGCTGGAGAGCCATTCTAATCTCGCTCAGACTAACGTCCGGGATATCATCGGAATAATGTCGGACGTGTTAGAGTCATGCTGCAGCTATATTAGTAGTATAGTTGTAGCACGAATGGGTCGTCTCGACCGGGGAAGGACCACGCTCTCACAGAATACCTGCGTAAAATGGCAGCTTGACACTGCTGTGTTTCGTATGGTGAGTGTAGAGAACCGGAGACCCATTTTACTGGAAAATAGGCATTCCATCTTAGTCCTCACGGTTGACGACGCATCTGCATTTTGTATCTTTATTGACGATAAATGTAGATGTCTATGGGTCACAGCAACCACTTACCATCAGGTGGACTGTGTGCTCGTTTGTCACCCTATCGTATATAAAAAAAGATCTTTTATTTTAGGTTATTTAGCAGCGTAGCAATATGCTTTCTACTGTTTTCAAATGCTTGATTTTTAAATAAATATACCTGTTTTAATATCGCTGAAAAATATTGATGCCGTAGCCTTGTCGTCATTTTTAACCCCGCATGGGTAAAGGTTGCACTTTGCAGGAACATTGACACTCCGGCAACAGCAGCTACTACTAAAAACAGGCCTGAATAGAGGTCTGCGAAATAAATTATTTCACTGTGGTCACTGAGAATAAATATCTGAAAATAGGAAAATATTTAATTTAAAAATGTCTTAACTAAATTTACAGTACAATGTTCAGAAATACTTACGCCACTAGTGAAACCATACAATACAGCAAAGGCTGGAAAGCAAGCGCCTTGGAAAAATGCGGCGATAGAACCAACAACTAAGTAGGGCCACTCTGAAGCATTTAGTTTCAATAATTGCCAATCGCTAACTGGTTTGACCTCCTTCGTGTAAAGGTTATAAAGTGTTAGTATAAATATTTTTCCGAATATTTTATTAATTTTTTATTTTACATTTATGAAATTTACCTCATCGTCGTTCTCTTTCTCTTCTTGTGATTCATTATCTACATTATATACAAATTTTTGTAACCCTGTTGACATCACTGAAGAAATCGACCCACGAGGTGTTACCCGATCACAAGATTCTGTAAATTTTGTGAAAAATAAAGAGATATGAGTATAAAAGTTGTAGTTTTATTTATAAAGAAATCACATAACGAAATGTAATAATGTCTGATGAACGATCTATGGATGCTTGGCACGCGGATTTGCGATTTCAGTACCAGACATTTCCCACTCTAAATATTGTAGGTATCTAACATAGTAAAAGGTGTTTAAACCGTTATATATCGAAGCTAATGAAATCTAACTGGTGTTCCTGATATTCGACGATTTCCACGGGGCATGATAGGTGATGAATTAGAGTTTTACGTACGTTCCCGTAAAACATTCTCAATACAACACCCATAAACGGCCCGTATAATCACATTTTTTATGAAGTTATTTTTTTGATTTGATTATACTTCGCGTATTACAGTAATGTCTCCTATTTACATTACTTGTAACATCAGTTATGGTGAATATGAAAATATCTTTTATCTAGTTATACATCACGTAAATTCAAGTTTTGGCTTCTTTATGCTGCTTTTACTTATTGTAAAATTCACTCTTTGGTATTTAAGAAGATAATTAAGAAGTATTTGCACTGCGTACATATCTAGGAGTTTTATCTTTGAGTTGACATGACAAAACCACGTACGATTTGACCAAGCCATAAATAAATAGACAGATTGATGAATCAAGATTATCGATCCGTTTTAAGGATTAAGAAGGGTTTCATACTTAAAAATCATTATTAACCTCGGTTTAATGAGTGATGTCTGTGAAGTCTTTTAGTTGATTTTCGCTTAACGTCTACCCGGGGAACTAAAACAACTTCACCGAGCTCAGCATTCTCGTCAGCTTCTTCGGGCAATGTTTCAATAACATCAGGTTCTTTGTTCTCATTGCCAGTTGTTACCAGTTTGTAATAAAAACCTGTAAAATGAAGGCACTTATACCAAACTTTTGTTTTATGTAGGATAGTAGTGCTTTTTAAAATTAAATTATGTGCTATCCGATTGTGGAGGTTGTTCGTTTTACCTTTGGCTTTTATGAGTTCTTCTTGAGTTCCCTCTTCGACTATCATACCTTGATCCATGCATACGATACGGTCCGCATTTGTTATCGTAGATAACCTACGTACCAAAAAAATAATACTTCAACTTTAAATATGTTTGTAATACTTATAGTTTAAGCGTTTAAGAATAGTAAAATAAGATTATTATTATTGTTACATGGTATATTTGGTGGTATAAGAATCCCGTTTACGCTAAATGCTTAAACAAACAAACCGGCGATGGGAAATAACTTGAAATGTACAGACCAGTCGTCTTGTACATTTGAGGTTATTACGATGGCTGATCTGCCAGCTCGAAAATGGTTGTGAAAATCTGGTATACGACTCAGATCTACATGTCATTGACAACACGGACTGTTGTATACTCTGGTTTTTATATTTTGAGGAATAAGTAACGGTATAGGTGTGTCATAATCTCCCAAATGTTGCTCTTGGTTTAAATTGGTCTTACTTAGTCAGAAAATTAGTCCTAGCGCCTATGTTGACGGTCAATAGAGGTGTGACATGGACGTTACATATGACCTTTGTCTTCTCCTACTAATTCGTTGAGACACTACAGATGTCATTGTACAACTATGGCGTGAAGTAGTACGTACCAGCACACATGGAGAATCCCTCACTGAGCATCCACGACTAGGCTACACCACTTCTGAGCGTGGGTGCTCAGACTACGTACCCTTGGGAGCGGGTTTGCTTCTCGTCGGACGATCCCAACGTTGTTGCTAATTCTGTTGCTGATGTGGTACTTCAGGGTATGGAACTTTTTATTCCTTCCTCTGTGGTGCCCATCGGAGGCAGATTTCAGCCATGGTTTAGTCGCTCCTGTAAAATTGCATCACACTACAAGGAGGAGTGCTACCGGGGCTGGGCTGACGCATCAACGTCCCAGGATGTAAACACCAGCGCCCTTAGAAATAAGTATAATTCTGCCTTCAGGTCAAGGGCAAAGTCAGAGCACATAGGCAGAATTGACGACAAACTAGTTCGCCTTCCTTCGGGAACCTGTGCATTCTGGTCTTTCGCCAAGGCTCTCAAAGTGAACTTCTGTCAGCCATCTCTTCTCTCTCTGCACAGGGTACGACTCACTGGTCCATGCCACAAAGGGATCTGCTAGGCTCTTTCTTTGCGTCCAAATCGACTCTCGATGATGGGGGAACACACCGCCCACCAACCCACGGTGTTAGTGCTTCATTCCGGATGTGCGGTTCATACAGCGCTCGTTTCGCAAAGCACTTCTCACCCTGGACATCCACAAGTCGAGTGGGCCTGACGGAATCGCCCTAATTGTCCTGAGGACGTGTGCTCCGGAGTTGGCACCGGTTCTAACGCGTCGTTTCCGGTACTCCTACTCCCTAGGCGTAGTCGGAAGACGGCTTTTCTCCACCCGATCCCTAAAAAGGCGACTGCTCAAACCCGTCTAACGACAGGCCTATCGCAATCACCTTATGTTCTCCAAAATTGGTCTCACCAACATTGTTTCTTATCTGCATATCAATGATATGTTGCGAAGCGGTAACATTCATGTGGATGACAGCACTAGTGATATTTTTTTTATAGGAGAGGGGGCAAACGAGCATGCGGCTCACCTGATGGTAAGTGACTACCGCCGTCCACGAACAACTGCAAAACCAGGGGAACCAGGGGAATCGCAGATGCGTGGCCGGCCTTTTAAAAAGGAATAGGCTCTTTAGGCTCTTTAGGCCTCAGAGCACTCTCCGTGGTAAATACGAAAGAAAATGCAAAGGGAAGCAACATCTCTTCGCAGTGCCAATGAATCGAGCCGATCAGAAAGGACTCGGTCGTCGACGATTCGAGCCGCTCTGCGCTGGATGTGGTCAAGTGGAAGGAGCTGGTACTGGGGAGCCCCTGCCCAGACATGGGAACAACCCACCACCTCCCATGGCCCCACCAACCTTGCGGTTATATGGGCCGAATCACGAGAGATGCACGCGGTACTTGCTCAGGGCTCTTTCCCGCATGCACTTTCTTGACTCTTTACAAGTTATTTAATCTAATCCTTGTCCCAGTTTGTCATTCTCCCCCTTCTGGGGCTGACGGCACTATTACGCCTACGTCGTCAGGCCTTTCTGCAAACATTCTGTCTTGCCTTATTCTGATATCGTGCCACCTGTGCGCAAATTCGCGCAACAGCCCGTAGTTCACCCCATCGCTGACGAGTCTGAGTAGTAAATCGGTCCTTGAACCGTACGAACTAATCCATCCATCATTTTCGCTCTTAGGTCGTCATACAGAGGAAATTCCCATAGAACATGGTGAACGTCCTCCTCTATCGCACCACACTCACACATACTTGTTTCACACAGTCCCATTTCACTCAGTCTCTTCCGAAAACATCCATGCCCGGTGAGAATTTGAGAGGTTTGATAGTCCGGTGCGACCCAGGTATACCTGAGTCGCAACGCCACTTCCGGGAAGAACCGATAGAGCTCGCGTCCTTTTGATTCATTCGTCCATCGAGCCTGACAAACACCGATCACCTCAGTCCAAATTTCGCGCTTCCGTCTGCTCAACTCCTCTTTGGGCGCGGTCAAACGTGCTATACCCATCCTACCAGCACGGATGACCTCCAGGTCAGAAGGGAAAACGCCAGCCAGCACCGGTAAGGCCGCCGTACTGGTGGATCGATACGCCTTAGTCAGCAATATAAGGGCTGATCGCTGCGATCTCAGCAGTACGCTGCGAACTGTGTACATGTTCGCACGCTCGTACCAGCACTCCGCCGCGTACGTGAGCGTGGATACAAACACTCCTCTATATATTATTTTTAGGCTCGGGTATCGGACACCCCAAGATGATGTCGATACGCGAGTCATCTTGCCGAATCCCTTGGTCGCTCTTTCTGAAATATCGGACGCATGTTGCACAAACGATAGTCCTGAGTCCAATACCACACCTAGTACCTTAGCATTAGTTACAGCCTTTACAGATTCTCCACCAAGTTTAATAACGGGGGGGGGGGGGGCGCTGAAGTTTCCCTCTAATAGTCATGGTGGTCGACTTTGATAAGGAAAACTCCAGTCGATTCCTTAGCCCCAACTCCCGTACAAGGTCCAAAGTGACTCTGGCCCTGGATTCGATACCCGCTCTGGTATCAGATTCAATCAAGATTGTAACATCATCAGCAAAGGCAGTCATGGCTACTCCCTCAGGCTGAGGGAGTCGAAGTAGGTCATCCATCAATACGTTCCACAGTGTAGGGCCCAGCACAGAGCCTTGTGGACATCCCATAGTCGATGTCTTCCACTCTACCCGGTCCCCGATGTAGAGGCCCACACGTCTGGAGGTGAAGTAGTCCACCAGCATTTTGTAAATGTTTGGTGGACAACCACCTCGTTTCGCTTTGATCATCATCATCGGCCACCAGGCATTGTCGAAGGCGCCGGAGATATCCAGAAAGATTGTCTGTGCGTAGCATGCTCGAGAATACCTAGCCGTGCTGAGCAAGACACGCAGCGCTGTTACCGTAGATCGCCCCGGAGAGAAACCCTGCTGGTGGTCAGATATCCCGCGACTAATCGCAGGAGCACATCTTAACATTACGCGTTCCAATACTTTTCCCAAAACAGGGAGTATGCCTTGGCGTCGGTGAGCGGCTTGTCATTACCCTTTGGAATGACAATCAATCTTCCGTCCTTCCATACCTTGGGGAAGACCCCCTCTACCACGCACTTGGCGTACACCGAGTGAAATTCCCTCAGTGCTGCCATCCAAACATTCCTCACAATTCGCGCGCTCACTCCATCGAGTCCCGGAGCTGTGTTAGGCAAGGCCTTGACTATTACTTCCAGAACCTCAACCGCAGGTTGAGATGCAGCTCTACCAGACGGCATGAAAGCCGCCAGTAGGCGGATCTGCTGATGGTAAGGCATGTCGTGATCACGTCTGTCATCCGGACAGAGCGCAGTCATTAGTTTGACCATCGCTGCCTCGATGTTGTCCGGGTGCACACCCGCAAAGGCGATCCCATTGATCACGTTTGCAGGCGGTCGTACCCTTCCGCTGGCCCCCTGTACGCCATACCCCATGGGTCCTCGTTGCCATAGTTGGCAACCCTCATATGATGCGACTGCTGCGCCTCCACCATCATCTTCCTATATCTCGCACGCACGCTGTGGAAGGCCATCCTGGCTATCTCCTCTGACCTACCTCCTAGTCGCCTTTTACTCTGCCATGCATGCCTGAGTATACATTGTAACCTAGTCTCTCTAAATCTAGTATTATCGAGTTCAGTCGTCCACCATTCGTACCCCCCCGACCCCCTGGGGCGACGTTCCCCTAGGCCCTCCTCCGCGGAGCGGACGATGACCCCTGAGAACTCCCCCGCCAGGAGGGCTGCGGGTTTTTCCACATGCAGCCATCCCATTCGCAGTTTGATTATCGCCCGGAACCTGTCCCAATCCACCCCTCGGTCGCGAAAACGAGGGGGCTCCCTAACGGGTGCAGCGCGGGTGGTCGGCATGTTGATAGTGGCCGTGAAAGTGATCAGGTTGTGGTCGCTGGCGCAGATCCCCTCGCGCACCCGCCAATCGGCAAGATAAACGTCCCCAGTGGTTAGGGTCAAGTCCACATTGGACTCCCCACCAGGTCCAGAGAAGGTGTAGGGCTGGTCGGGCATATTAGCTAGAGTAAGGGCATGTGAAATGATAAACGCCTCCATTTGTTGTCTTCGATAGTCAGCTGTTTGCCCTCTTCCCACGTAATGCCGGCGATCAGAATGCCAGAGTGGCGAGTGCGCGTTGGCGTCGAGGCCCACGATAACCCTTCTGCCCTTTAGACAGCTCAGAGCGCCCTCTAAGTGGTGCAGGTGATCATCGATAGTGTCGCTAAATTTAAAGTACTCTGACACCACATAGAGGTCCCATCGCTATACGTGGCACACCACACAAAACTCGTTGCTGAGGTGGCTCAGCACAGCTACTCCAATAGTTGGGTCGGCAAGATAGACGCCCGCCCACGGATGCCCGCTCACCTGGATGATCCCCATAGCCTGGGAGTACTGTTCTTGTACAAGAACAATGTCCAGGTGCAGTTTACGCG